CAGCAGACAGCAAAAAATAAAATTATATTTTTATTTTTAATTGTTAAAATTAATTTTTTACCCACTTTGACTACAGAAATTTTTAAATTCTTAGATTTGAGAGTTACTACCATTTAAGGACATAGTTAAAAGGTACCATACTAACACTGTCCAAACTTTATTCCTTAGTTTCCAAAGTCAATCTGTCTGATATGATTTTGAGATTTCCTGAGAATACTATTTCTGTTTTATACATTGTTTATTGAGGTTTACAATTTCTTAGGGATCTTGAATCGTACAGCCCCCAAAGCAAGCAAGATGATATGGTTTAGCATCATATTAAAGGAGCTCCTTGAATAGAGTTGATACTTATTACCTGGTTTAAAAAGTCATATAAGCAGTGGTTGACATTTAATGAGTTTGAGGGTCCACATAAAGATGATGTTCCACACTTTAATTAGGGACAAGAAGGGAAAAAACAGCTAGCTGAGAGGGAATATTTAATTTAAAATTGACAATTCAAAGCACAACATTTATCCATTTAAACACCCAATACTTGTTAAGCATCTCCTATGTACTAGGTAGTATTTTAGGCATTGATGTTGCAGGTAGCAAATAAAACAAACTTCTGAGTATATAAACTGTCGCCCAGTACATAATTCAGCTGACAACTTACATATTAGAACTGCCTAAAAGAGATAAAATTTTAGAATTTTTCTATATCCTCTAAAACAGGAGTCCCCAACCTTTTTGGCAACAGGGACAGTTTCATGGAAAACAATAATTCCACTCACAAGAGTTGGGGGTGGACCTGATAGGAAGTGAAGCTCATAGAGCAATGTGGTGATGGGGAGTGGCTGTAAGTACAGATGAAGCTTCACTCACTCTGGCTGCTCACCTCCTGCTGTGTGGCCCAGTTCCTAGTAGCCCACGGAACAGTACTGGTCTGCAGCCTGGGGCTGAGGACTGAATTTGGCCAGACTGCTATATAGTGGTGTACCTGGAATGCCTTACTTCACTTTTTATGCAATTGTTTTATAGGATTTTATTTCTCCAGCAGGCAATTAGATTCCATAAAATAGCTCAGTGAAACTCATATTTATATTAGGAAGTATTTCAGACCATTATTCACCACAGTACCCCATGGTCTTATTTACAAGGGCTTATTGAAGAAATTTCCTCTCAAATGTCATAATTAGGAGTGATGTACGTGAATCAAGTTATATTTGAGAACAGCAACAATTTTGTGGATACCTTTCAAGGGGCATACTGACCACAAACTGAATTCATTTTGTTTTTCCTTGCTCAATTTTTCACATTTATCTTTATTTCTTTTAAATTGTTATATTTATGCATTTGGATAAGCCATCTAAATTTTTTTTAAGGTATAAGTAAATATATGGATGGATGGGAAAAGGTATGTGTAGTTGGCCCTTCATGTTGCTGGTTCCATATCTGTACATGCCATCATCTGTGGATTGAAAATATAGCATTTGGGGGTTCTGCAGGTCAGGCTGTATTCTTTACATAAAGCTCTTCATCGTTTGCTAAACATAATTCAGGGGAAACAGTTAATTTCTTCTGCAAATCTTCTGGAAAATTTGGCTCTGTAAACATAAATCTTACATAGTTTGATATAAAAAGAAAAAATATCTTGTGGAAATGCCACCAAAGGGCACTGGGACTGATGGTATTGAGTCGGGTGATGATGTGGGGAGATGTTCAACTCTCTGTTGGATTAGATACATACCGATATTTTCAACATGGTATTCCTAAACAAAGCATACATATAATTTCTCTCACATTTGTATCACCTACATCTTTTCCATAAAACATTAAAGCCCTTTTCATTTATTCTTACTCTTCAGGCATTCAGTGTAGTAGAAAGATCATCATCTACAAAGTCAGACAATGCCACTACACAGTTAATGTCCACAAGAAATGGAATTGGCTGTGTTCTAGCATTTACAACAGTATTCAACACACATGTGCTCAAAAAAATATTTGTTGAATAAAGAAAGAAATGAATAAATGAACCAATCTAGATTTGAAACCTGACTTTGCTACATAGTTGCTCTGGGAATTAGAAAAAAATAATTAACTTATCTGAGCTTCAGTGATTAAAATGGATATAATAATAAAGAGAAGGCTTAAGAACTAAATGACGTTAGTGAATCACCTGGCATAGAGTAGGTATTCAATATAAGTTAATTCTGTTTATGCTTCTACTTTTCAATTCTCCTTATACCCTTGCAGTTTTGATCCTAATCAGTCAAAGAACAGGAATAATATAAAAATCCAAAAACTACCAAAATAGTACTTTAGAACCAAAGGCCAGAAATAAAAAATGGAGAGCAAGAGCCTAAAGGCAGGAGCATTGGCAAGTGCCAGGCAAGAAACAGAATGCTGTAATAATGGGATATAAATTAGGGAACAAGCAGCTAAATGAAGGAGGATTATAAGACAGCAAGAACTGAGTACAAAGATCTATAAGCCACATATGGGGAGGCATAACTAGAAGTAAACACGTAAGGGAATAAAACTTAATTTTAAATACAGCAAGAGAAATATATTGGTCTAAATTATTAGAAAATCCCAGCAGAAGAATGTAGCTTTATTGCTTTCTGTCACATATACTAGTATAATATAGTTAAATTGAGGTTTTCTGTGCCTGTAAATGAGTAGAAGATAAATATTTATTTTCAATAGACAATTTATTATCAATGGTAAATGGATGCCATTAAAAGTTTGAAGCCATTTTTTTCTTATTAACTTTGTTTCCCATTTTCTTATAAATTATTTTCAAATTCTTTTTTCCTTAAATGATGGCAGAAATTTACATTCCTACTTCAGATATCAGTATTTCTGACTAGTAGAGTCCAAAATAATAAAGTTTAATGGGGTTTAGGTACTCTTTTTAAATAAAATATTTGTCTTCAACTTCTAAATATTTTCTTAACTGTGAAAGTTCTATGAAAAAAATCACATAATTTTGATCTTTTTCTTTTATACTTAATACTTTGAAGATAAAATTAAAGTCAGAAAGACCCTTTAAAGACGGCTAAGTTGCAAAAATGATGTCATAAATAATGATTGTAATTTAAGAATCTTATTGATAAAATT